CTATAACCTTGAGTTTTACATCCCAAGGAACACTTTCCATCTACAGGCCCAAACCTGGCCAGCACAGAGACCCTGCTTTGTGCACCCACACTGTCAGCCTGTTGAGTGACCTCAACCAACAGCAGCTAGGAGGAGTAAGGACTATAGCTGTCCCAATATTTTAAAACTGAACACCAGGCTGGACACCTAATGCAATCACATGAATGGAAGAGTCGATAGCTGCCACCACTGTTTCAACAGGCCATGCCAGGACAAGCACTGGCTTGGTTCAAACGCACAGGATGAATAAAAATAATGTTGCCAAGCATGCTGAAAATGAAAAACTTAAAATGCCAAGAATTATGTTAATGATCACTACCAAAAAAAAATTAACATTTTCGTAAGTTTTTATGCTGTGCAGCACAAACTCCACCTGAAAGCATTTGCTCCTCAGAAAATACAAGAGGTTGAGCAAGCGGAGAAAGAACAATAAGTAAAAGCAAAAAGCTGCTAATTCGGAAGCGAAAGGGTTAATACGTTTTGTTTCAGTCAGTATTATACCAATGCCAGGGAAAGACTAAAAAGAGCCAATTTTTTTTATTATTATTATTCTTTAAAAGAAAAAAATCAGGCCTATCTGTCACACGGTTGTCCGGGCTGGAAGAACCGGCAGGAACCTCAAATTCCTGACCAAACCCTCTTCCACACAATGCCTCCTGAATGGAAGGAACCCAGGCCCGGCAGAGATAGCCCGCTGTCAGGAACCAGCCCTGACGTTTGCGGACAGACGGGGCTGGCGTCGCAGGATGTCAGAGCAGCAAACTGCTGTTCGAGATACTGGGTTTTCACACACTCCCAGCCTGGATGTTTTGCTCTTCAGGTAATTAAACAAGGAAACGGGGCTGATGTGTACGAGTCTGACCCCTGCGCCGCGGCTCCGCGGTTCTGCATATCAACTTCCGCACCAACCGCCCCGAGCATCAACAGAGTCCTCTGCTCCCGACACCAAGCTCTAAAACAAATCCTCCTGGAAGTATCTGCTGCTGTCTACTCCTTTTTTTCTTTTTTTTTCTATTTAAGAAGGGCTAAATTACTTGCTCTGTTCCACACGCCTTGCTGCTTTCTCATAAAAAGGAAGGAAAAAAAGAAAGGAATAGGTACTTTTGAGTAGCTGTTCTCCAGCCAGCCATTCAAAATATTAAATATCTGGGGGAGGGGAGGAACAGAGAGAAAGATGAGGCAAAGGATTCCCAAATTAATGCTTACTTTAAGGTCATCACTCAAAATGAAAAAAGATCCTGAAAAGTATTTCTGGTTTGTCCAACCAGCTGCCAGACGTTCACTTATTTAGAAATAAAATTATTCTGATTTAAGCATTATTGAAGAGTCTTTGTCTTACAAGAGGACATAAATCATAGAACCAGGCACTAGAAAAATAGACCAGGGTTTTCTTTCTCCTTTCCCCCAAATTCAAGAAATGGGAAAAGGCAGGTGTTACCACCTATACTCAGTGAAAACCTTACACAGGCTGATCTGTGACTGACCTAGTTTCTACGGTCTTTAAAAGCTATTTAAACAAAAATTATTTTGAAAAAGAGGTAACACATTACTATTTCTTTCTGAAAAATCCACAGAATAGAATATTGGCTGAAAAGAGAAGAGCCCAGAAGAAAGAGGAGTACAAAAGCATGCCTGCTTGTCTGTGTTCAACACAAAGAACATTAAATGAAAACAACTGGCACGCTGCCAAATTCCTATACAGGCAAAGAGATTCAAATAAATTGATTTCACGCATCACACTGACCTGGGATCAGTGAGCAGTGGTACAATACACTTGCTGCTCCATGTGGGGCAAAGCCCATTAACGTTATCAGAGCCACAGTACATTACCAAGAGAGGGGAAAGAGGGAAAAAAAAAAAAGAAAAAAAGAGAGACAACCCAACCTCTGCAAACTCAGGGGGGAAAAAAAAAAAAACACTTTGAAAAAAGAACTTCAGCTGGAGCGCTTGGTTTCACCTTACAAATAAATATATCATATTGTGAGAGCTTGTCCTCTGCTGACCTCAAAGATTTCAAAGATCGTATTTTCAAATTAAAATAAATACAAATATCGTACATGCACACTCCCCTTACATTCTACTTTTAACACAGACATTCTCAAACTCAGTTATTCTCTGTAAATTTCCTCCCTTCCCCATCCGCCAGCGTTTTATATAGATTACGGGTTATTTTCTTTGTACTTCAAAAGCTGGATTCCTGCCCAGGATACTCTTACTGGCTCAGAAAGTGAGCTAGAGAAATCGGCCACTGCTCTCAACTGGTCCAAATCAACCTGACCTACAGAGAAAAACATCTTATTTGCAAGGCAGCAAGGAGCAGGGCCCCAGCTCCCTTTGCAATCACCCAGGCACGCTCCCTCACCACGAGGCATTCTCTCCAAACCACAGTATTCCGAATTTCACCTTCTCATGACATGGTGAAGTAACCCGTGTGTGCCACGGAGTCTCTCACACTCCAACCAAGAGCAACGCCAGCAATGCACCGGTTTGGATGGTAGAAGGGGGGGGTGTATGTGTGTGGGTGTGTGTGGGTGTGTGTGTGTGTTATTATTTCAACTGTACTCCTTAAGAGAAGACATAGGTAAGCAAACAATTGCTTTGAGGATAAAAAAAAGAAACCAGGAAAAGATGACTTTGCAGTAGCAAAAGATGGAAGAGGATGCACAAAAAGGATCACAAAAGCATAGGCAGGTAGTGATGCTACAAGAGGTCACCGCTTCAAGGAAGCAACAGACACTCAAACTCCTCTTATTTTGTCTTTTATTCCATTTTGGTTCCAAAGAGTAATTCAAATTTTCTTTGGCACAGCAAAGTCCACATTAAGTTAAGCTCCAAATTTCAATGGGAAGCTTCTTGGCCATTTAACACTAAAATTTTTGAACGTGTGACAAACACATCCAGATGCAGGTACCCTACCCAGCCACCTCACTGCAAGTAAATGTCCAAATGGGAATGCCCAAAGAGCTAACAATTGCTAACCACCACTGATCATCCTTTTTTATAGAGAGCTACAAAGTAGTTTGGGATTATCTTCATCATCAAGGTGAAAAGTATAAAATATCATTAAATCTGTAAGTTGTATTACAGAGAGGATGTGTTTGTTTCAGTATAAGGCTACACTGACAGAACTGCAGAGGAAAGGGAATCATTTAGTGCACAGCAACTTCACAGAGGAAGAAATGTGGCTGCACCCAGCTGATACAGGCAGCCTGACCTGCCCGATGGTTAACAAGACAGATAACATGCTGTTCCCTCCCATTTATGGATATTTCAGTAGTATGACGAGATCGTTTGGACTTTATAAAGATGAAGTGAATTTTAGTCATATTAATATCTTCTTTCTACAAAAATGAATAGCATTGCAAAACATGCCTTTCTCCTAAGTTGTAGGAAATTTCCATTATCTTGTGCGTGCTCTGACAGCAATAAACCACAATAAGCTTACCATTAGTATGCCAGCACTGCATGCTTCAGGCATGAAATCTTTACTTTTACATTTATTTATTTTTAAAATCCTTTATGAGGACCCATATGGCAAAAGAAACCAACCAAGAACCACCTGTACGGGGTACGCATGCACTTTGAAAAACAGACTATAAGTAGGAAAAAGGAAAATTAGTCAGAAGCTATACACCGCTAAATTAGTGAAATAAAAATGCAAGAAGAAACCCTGCTAAGATGAAACATCCTTTTCCAATGCTGCCTGTATACAGGAAGGTCCCAGAGAAGCACTTACTTGTTATAAACAGAGCTAGGAACACTAATTAGAATGCAAATTCATAAAATCATAGAATGGTTTGGGTTGGAAGGGACCTTAAAGACCATCTAGTTCCAACCCCCCTGCCATGGGCAGGGGCACCTTCCACTAGACCAGGTTGCTCACAGCCTCATCCAGCCTGGCCTTGAAGACATCCAGGGATTGGGGCATCCACAACATCTCTGGGCAACAATTCATATTTAATAGGATTTAACTTTTTAAAAGTACGTTCATGCTGGTGTGCAAAACCTCAGCCCCAGACCCGTGCCACAGCGAGCTGGGCAGAGCCTCCCGCTGACTCTCTCCACTGTGCTCCATCTCCTTCCACACCCCACAGACAGAGCAGTCTCTCAGGTGGGGAGACATGGGATATGATCAAGGCCAAGTTGCCTTCAAAACTAACCAGAGTATGGCCTAGAGCACTCACTGCTCAATTTATTTTGGTATCCTGCTCTATCAAACTTACATCATAGGCGAAACGGGCCAACACTGAGGAAGAAAAAATCAGTGTTGTAAAGCACTTCCCATCAGTTTAGTAGTTTCTTGCCATCTAGACACACCATTTTAAGGGGAAAAAAATGTAGTTATAAAGACAGGAATGGCAGTCACAGGTTACCTAGAAATTTTGTTCTGTCGTAGTAGATTTACTTTCCAAAAATGGCAGAAAAGGTTTGCACACAAGAAGCAGAAATATCCATGCTCAATATCATCTCAATCAAATTTATCACAGATTCTCAATGCAATGAGTTTATCAGAGGCTTCCACTAAATTACAAACACAACGATTTTGCCAATGTGATTGCAACTGTCCCTTAGCCTGGTTGCAAATGCTGTTCCAATTCACAGTTCAAGGAAACTGAACCTCATTATTTTCACAGCCCAGCCAAGTAACATATACATGCCATATAAAGAGCCCCTTTGTCATCAAAACCACAAAACACACAGTTAAAAATTTCACATATAAGTATTTTTAAGCTAAGTAACATTTTAGAAAAGTCATCACTGGTGGATTTTATTGGCATTGCTGTACTCTTTCTCAGTGATATTAAAATGAAGACACCACCTCCATTGATTTAGGCAACTCTTTGGAGGCTAAATAGAAAGAGTTCTGTTTTAATTACAGTTTACAAGGCAAGGTACAGTCATTAAAAATAACTTCTAAAAGGTATGCACATTACAAAATCAAATATTTTTCTGTTCCTTACCTTGACAAATTTCAAAGTTCCCTTTTTTCCGGCAGTCACCTATCACTAAACTCAGTGCTCTCCAAGTGTTTCTTTTGACAGATATCATTCTCCACCAATCGCTCTGCTAATTTCCTCTTTCCTTTTCTGACTGGGACAGATACTATGTTCACCAGCCCAGAGATCAATCTTTTCTATTGACAACAACAAATGGGAAAAAAAAAAAAAGCACATATCACAGCCAGTTTGAAGCACCACACCCCCTTCATTTGCATGATAATAGCAATCTTTTAAATAAAAAGGGAAGACAGAAACGCAATCATTCTAAATCAATTACCCACATTTTCTTAGTTAATATAAGGCAGTACTTTAAAACTGTATTAATTCTTCCACAAAGGCTGTTTCATAAGTTGCTCATTTAAAACAGTTGACATCTATATGGGGCAACAAACTAAGGGCAGCCTGTATTCTACCATGAAAACACCCGTTAGGTAATTCCGTAAAAATGTTTGGGTTTAAATACATTCATATAGTATTTTATATTACATACCTTACCTGGTTCAACAGAAGCTCTAGAGAATCATTTATTAAATGAACATGGTTACTAAAAACAGAGACCTTGCAATTACACATCGCTATGTTAATTTGGATTTGTAAGTGGTAACAGCAAACACATTTAAACAAAGGGAGATCAAAAAGCTATTGATATATTTACAAATCATCCTCCCACTTTTGAAAAGGCAATTTCCCTCCCACTCCAACACCTACAAAAACTGTTTATTTGGGCTATACAAATCCTTTGTCATTCGTATGAGTCTCTATTACAGCATTGTCAGTTTTTCCAAGACATTAATATGCTTTTCAGGGGTTCATAATTATGTCAAGGCAGAAAGATTTTCAGAGCCAGGCACACACAGTTACGTACATGCTTCAGTCTGCATCCACTATTCAGGTATTTTGGGCCATAAAGTTAAAACATGCATAAGGATCTGGTCACAGCTGCATGCATCTAACCCAGAACCCAGCCTCCGCCTCAGCCCTCTCCTGGGCTAGATCTTACTGCAAATAATAAATGTATGGCCCAAGGGCAAAAGATCACGTTTGTGTTTGTGCTACAAACTGCAATCTTTCCCAAAAACAAGGACCTTCCTCAAACCAAAACGAACTTTCCCAAGCTAAAGTTAAGGCTACAGAAGAAAGGAGTTCACCACTCAAAGTACGTCCTTTCCCGTGTTCGTGGTCGGACGTTTCCCCGCAGCCCTGACGCAAAGCCAAAGTTCTACTGACTTCAGTGAAAACGAGAGGCGTGTAAGGACTGCAGGACTCTACCCAGCATTTGGCAACTGTGAAGCTTTCAGTATGACACAACTGCCTTTGGCATGTGGAAAACAATCTCCAGAATGTGGTTAGGACTTCCCAACTTGGGTGCAATAACTACTTTTCTAAAATGGTTTTTATTTTGTATTAAATTCTCTAGTTGTCACCATGTTCTTACACAGGCAATAAAAATTACCATTTAGTTGTGCCTTATCATTAATTGTGTATTTTTCAATTGTCCAGACTGTTGCATAATAATTTACATTTCCATAAATGCATACAACATTCCCTAAATTGTTATTTTTTTGATCTGATTTTTATGGCCATAAACTCATGCCCCTACTAAAACTGAAAAATCCTTCACAGACCAAGTGGCCCTATTAATTTCACTGAGATCATTTAAACATCAAGTTTTCTACCGAGTGACGATAGCACAATCTGGTTGAAATATGGACTTACAGTGGAACATTAAATTAACATCGTATTTTGGATCCAGAATTACACACAGCAGCCATCTGTAAAGATGTATTCATGTTTTGCTAACCTTTACTAATTTGGCCACTAGAAATAATTATGATCAAATATGTTAATTTATGTAACATATAACAATTCAGTATTTCTGTCTGCTGAATAGCATACTCTTTTTTCATGGCTGCTAAAAGATTTTTAAACCTCTTACTGTAGAAAAAAATGTTCTTAAAAAAAAATTCTTCCCAAAAAAAAAAGTTCCCATCTGTCGTCCACTTTACAATGAAGACATCACTAGAACTTCCTGCTCAGCCTTTGTTTCAGCCCCATGTTCATTTTCTCTATATGCCACATTTTCCAAAGTGATGGATGCATTCTGCTATACGCTAATCTTTTTCTAAAATTTATTTTTGCCTCTTGAATTGTAAACTGCTGCTGTTGTTCGCATGGATGTGCGAAATCGTCTGAACTTCACTGAAAGTAGATCTCCTCAAACAATTTGTAGTCTTACAAGAGTGTTATAAAAAAGGATCAACATGTTGTATTACCATGGAAATTTTTAAAAACATACTTTCCCAAACAAATATTACTTTTTCTCAATGGTATGAAGTAATGAAAACCACATGTGTAAATCTGCTATCCGTGCAGTAGTTCAAGCTGCAGCTAATAGAAAATACAGAGAGTGAACTCTGCCATATAAAGGATTCTTGTTACAGAAATATAATGTGAAAACCAGATGCAGACAGAAAACCTTAATCACAGATGGGAATGTAATCACTGGCATACAGAATACTTTTTTGATCAATCTCAACCATATGAGAAATGTATTTATTTTCTAAGGAATGCAATAACTCGAGAGAGTCTTCTATTTGAATTCAGTTAACCTCATATTCACAGTGCTTTTATCTTATATGTGGAGAGAAGGGGGATATAACCTGAGCCAAGATTTTCAGAAGAGCCATTGGCCCTGGCAAATCATTCTTGTATCAGCTTATCTTTCAAGGAATTAATAGGATGTAAAGACTACAAATATCAGGATCAGCCTCAAAAGAAATCAACCATTATTGCACTTCCTAGTTAATGCCAGAAATCCCTTCATCACCAAAGCACTTCTCTGGTTAAATTTTTCCCCTAATATGTGGTTCTTCAGAAATAGAACGCTCAGGGCAGCACGCTGTTGCACATGAAGGTCTGCGAATCGGAACTAGTGTCCTACACCAAAGAATCTCCCTACTCTTTTATAAAAGCTGAAGAGTCATGGGTCTAAAGCAAAGTTTTCTTTTGGCTTTCTTCTAACTGCTGGGAGCCCCAGTGAATACCCTCCACCCACACAGCCTGTGGCTGCCAGCGGGAAACAAAAGACCTGTGGCACACCACAGCTATCCAGTTACATCAAGAGTCTAAAAAGCAGGTTGCCTTCTACCAACTACCCAGACCAAGGTAGGACTGAGATAACTCCTGCCAGTTTTCATTGCTGGTGACATTTCTGCTCAATTTTTAAGAGATGGAAATGCTACAGGAGTAGTAAACTCCTCATGTAAAATATGGAAATTGCCATTAAAAGCTGAAAATCAAGTTCAGAATTCAGGTCATCGATAATGCTACCAGCAGGAGCTACCGACGCCGTTACAAAGGCTCAGCATCTTCAAGCAACCACACTCCTACAGTTCATCAGCCAACTGATGGAAGAGACATTGGCCTAAATTTTATACCTGGTAATTGAACAGGACTGTTATGTTAAACTACAATATAAAAAAAAAAAAAAAATTATGCTAGGACATTAGACTCAAGAAAGGAAAAGCATTCAGAGATGACAGACCTCCAGGCTCCTGGGTACCAGCAGTGATAGCTTACCTCCTGGCAGTCCCTGAACTCTGCTGCACCCTCTTGGAGGTACTAGGTCTACCCAAGCACACCACAGCACTACCTGCTTGTGCTTAAGGTAACCTAGAGTTGCTATTCTTTTATTTTAATAGTACTAAATAACATAAACTACAATGATTTGGTAGCTGTTAAACCAGAGAGGAGACAGGGGTGACAAAAGCCTTTGATGGGCACAGGGTAGTCAGATTCTCTTACTCTCTTAAAGCCTTCAAGTTCTATTACCATCATCTCACTGTAGGTATCTCCAGTAAGTGGACAGAGTCTCTTCAATACCCTACCACAGGACTCCCAGCAGTTGCTCATCGGACTAATTCTGCTGAAGTTCCTGTAAATGTGCTCCCTTCACTGAAATGAACACAGGCATTTGTTAACTACTTGCTTTTTCCCTCCAGTGTTAGCTAGCAAACCATTTGATGAAAATATTTTGATTACACCACTGTGTCAGAAGTTTTTTAAACCATCTCATCTCTTCTGCCATTTAAGTTTAAATTTCTGAGGCTACGGCATCAATAGACAGTGCAGAAGTCAACATTTAACACTAGAGTAATATGGGCTGGATATGCTTGCCTTATTTCTAAAGAAGGATGCCTAGATTAATAATACACTTTGGCCAGATATATCTTTTAATTTGCAGGTTTCTCATATAGCATCATGTGTGTGGAGTGCTAAAAATGGAGTGAAATCTTCCAGCTGTAAAACAGTTCCATGTGACAAAACAGAGAGGGATCCTGAAAACTCCTGCTTCGTGTCATGTGTACGCGTGTGTGCCTGTATCTTTTTTTTTTCCCCTCTCATCTAATTTCATCTGCGAGAGACTGTCCCTAGAGGACAAGAGAAGAGAGAACCAATTATATCCAGAGGTTGGTTTCTCCAAAATGAAGGCATCTGTTCCATGCCAACAACTTCCACATGGAAGAAAAACAGAACTTTGAAGGCATCTGCGTTCATGGTTGACAGTCGCGGATCTCAGGGTCTACCGTAATTGCCCAGCTGCAAACATGACTTGGTTGCTGCTGTTGTCAGCTGATCTCCTTGCGCTGAAAAGCAGCAGCTTAAATAGCAAACAGCTGGATAAAAATCAGATATTCTTCCACAGTACTGACACCTTTTCCCATCTGAAGGGGGCATTTTTCCTGATACAACGGGTTTGATAGAAGTAAATTGCAAAGTGGTTTTTAAACATCTTACAAAATATTCTGCTTTAAAGCGCTGTTCTTTAAATAACGTACAAGTCCAAGCACAACGTGCTCGTTATTTGTTCGTGTTTCAGGCTGATATTTTGTACAAGTGATTCAGACACCAGTATGATTCACCAGCCACATAATCCTGCAGCCCACCTTATTTAGGCAAGTAGTCTCAGTCAAACCAAGAGCACACCTGAGCAGAAGCTCCGAGTTTTCACCTAAGACACATATGGCAGAGAAATAACTAATATGGTAT